TGGCAAGTGACACCAGGAATCAGAAACAGAGTATGTTTGGAGGGTGTTCCTAACTGGTGGGGACATGATCTTCCTATCAGAAGAGGAAGCCCAGGAATACTGGTGACCAGGGGTTTCCTAACTGTAAATGATGCTCATGAACCCTGGACCTTCACCTAGAGAGCTGTCTATTGGGCAGGAGATTTCTCTCCCCTGGAGGGGGGAGATTCCATAAATATTCCCACCTCAAGTGTGAAAAATCTGTCAGAAAATATTGAAGTAATTTGTCTTCAAGTCATGCATGGCCAGTGGTTGGTGCCATGTCAGCTATGCCCCATGTTTTTGCTTGCTAACCCTGATTTTATGACTCTACTCATTCAAGGACTGCCAAACTACTTAAAAATGTATGCAGTTCAATTGCAAGATCAATTGCGAGATGCATTAATGCCCCAAGGAGGGGTCTCTGAAAGGCTTCAGGGAAAACCTTTGGCTTGGGGAGAGGTGGCCCAGGAATTAATTAATTTTGGGAGGAGAGTGGACATTAACCTTGATACGGGGAGACAAAAGTCTTTTGTTGGAAGAATGAACAAGAGAAAGAAAAACCACCTTCCTTATACAAAACGCCTTGGTCAGGGAAGGAGTTTAAATCTTGGCAAAATGCACTATGGACTGGTGGGAGAAAAGAGGAGATATCTAGGGAGCTGATGGATGGGTTACCCACTGCCACTCAAAAAACTGGTACACAACTGGCCAGAAAGACAAGGGTGTTCTGGCAATGTGTCCTGTTAAATTTGAACTATTGTAACAAGACTTCAGAAAGATTCTTTCTGTTGTCTATAAATTTGTCTACTGTAATGCTTATTACCTGTAAGAGTTGACCGGGGGAACCCCCTCCAAAAACACAGTTTGTATTTGGTATTAGAACTTTGAATATAAATGTGTACTTGTTGCAACTACAATAGGACCAACACCTCATATGTTTCTCAGTATCATACCCTGTAGATGGAATTAGCCTGCATACAGAGCCACAAATACTTATCCGACATATTACTGACACCTGTTATTGTAAAATGGCAAAATATGTAACACTTTTGGGGTTGTCTTGAGAGTGTTCAGATAGAAAACGTTATTCCTATCTGACACTGGAATACCAGACTGGATTGAAATGTGGTGTTGGAATTCCTCTACTGTGTTCTATCAAGTGTTTCATTTCAGTACCCCTCAGAGACAGATGCACCTAGGCATACCCAATTATTGAACAAGGGGTACACAGGATGCCCACCCTCACGGAGGGGGAATACTGTGCTACCATCTACAACAGCACAACTTCGATTGAAGAGGCCTGAGCTTCTGACCAGTTGCTGACCTATTCCAATCAATGCAACCACAGGACTGATTTGATGAATCAAACCTCAGACCCTGGATTTGTTCTATTTGGAAATCTTTGGGACACACAGGGTGGGGAAAGTGGTTGGCACAAATTGGAATTGGAACATTGTTTGAATGTCTGTTTCTAATGTTTTGTTTGCTGTTGTGATTAGCTGCTTACTATCTTGTGCTTCCTTCCTCTTTTCTCCCTCTGTCTACTATGGAAAGATCACCATAGCCGAAGATGAGCCCTATGCCAAACCAATAGGAAGGAATATTTGACCCATGGGGTGGTGTTGAGGACCAGATGTAAACACATTGTGTCTCAAACATTCTGACTGTGATGACAAGTAAGATGTGATCAGGACAGAGGGTCCTGTGGAGATGGGGCAGTGCTGTTCTGAGTCATCTTCCTGTTTCACCTGGAGATTCCTGCTCAGCTCCCCACCCAGCCTCCCCCAAATCAGTTCCTGGAGAAGGGCTCAAAGGGCTGCTGTGCACGTGTGAATGGAATGGCATGAAAAATCTAGTTTACATAACAGGCTGCACCACGTACCTATAAAAACGAGCAGATCGGGCCCCCTCACTCTCTCTTTTTCCCACTCTCTCTCTTTCCTCTCTTTGTCTTTCACTCTCACACTTTGCCCCAGTTTCAGAACATCCATGTGGCAGGACCAATGGGGGATCTAAGGACTGGTGATTTTATGTATTAGTTCTCTCTCTTTTTTGTCTTTAGTGCTCTCTCTTGCTGTGCTTTGCTTGGGCAAAGCATGGCTATCATATTTTACCCCCAAACGTTTCACTGACATTTGTTGCAGCAGTGGGGGGTTTGTGAAAAGTGGTGTTGTGGCTTGTGAGCAGCACCTCTGCTTGTATGTTGTGATTTGTGAACCTGCACGTTTAAGAGGTTCTTTGTAGGAATTGAGAAGTTACTGTACTGTACTGTATTGTATAAATTAAGGGCTTGTTATCCTCTGCCGTTGTGGAGGTCTGTTGTATAAGTTTAAGAGCTTGTTTAGCACCTTTTGGGTGTAAATATTGGATTGGTTGCCAGAGTTATGGTGACTATACAATAAAACCTAAAGTTCCCTGACACGTGGTCCTGTGTCTTTGTTCAACCAGAGGATAATTGGTAACAAACATCATGCCCCCCACAGGTGGATCATGACATGATGTTGTTCACATATGTAGTTGAAACAAGCTGTTTCTGCCTGCATTTTCTGACCAGAAAGTTTCAGGCTACTTTTTGGTAGTCCAGGTTTAAGAGGTGAGAAATGTGAAGCTATAAATATAAAAGCTATAAAAGGTGTTTCAAGAACCATTAATAATATCAGAAAAGCTCAAAAGGAACGATGATTTCTAATACTGAAAAATGCTTTTGTCTCTTGTACATCTTAGGTCTTTGACTATGACTTTGGACTTCAAGATGACTTCATTGGTTCGGCATTTTTGGATCTCACTTCATTGGAATTAAACAAGTATGGCACCAACAAGCCGATAGAATATTTCTATATTGGTATCCGCTAATGTCCTATTTGTGGAATTACAAGTAGAACATTATGTTGGAAAATAATTATGCAAACCCACACAGCATAAAACTAGGCAAGGAAGCCCACTTCTGGATAGGAAATTACTGTAATATGAATGTTAATATATTAACTGATTATGCACATTTTTGTAGTGTCTATGGAGAGGTTAGTTTTATAACCACTTTAGTCTTGTTTTTTTCTTCTTCTTTTTTTTCTTCACAGCATTACCACCTACTGTTTTACTTCTTTTTTTTTTTTTGTTTTTTACTCCATTAATGTTACAGTTCCTATTTAATTACTGCAGTTACATATAAGTGCTTACCACACAGTACATATGTTAGACAGGAATACTTAAAAGTAGAAATAGGGCAAATTTGTGACACTGTTTTTAAGTAGTTTCATATAAATGCAGATGCCCTTAATTCTCATGATTCAGAAATTTCATTATCTGAAAGCCTGAAATCAAAATACATGCATATCTTTTTCTCTCCTAGGAAAACAGATGTTACCTTGAGTCTGAAGGATCCTCACTACCCTGACCATGATTTGGGAAGTATATTCTTATCAGTTCTGTTGACTCCAAGAGAAGAACATCGAGACGTGGTAATTTTAAATATTTTATTAAGTGTCATCTCTCCTGTGATTGTTCTGTGGTTGAGTGAGTTAAAGCACAAGAGTAAATCACAAATTCTGAGATTAATTTGATTTTTCCAGTTTTTAAAATAACACTGAGCAGTGTTTCTGGTATAGTACAGCATACTTCATCTGAGTTGGATCCTCCTGGGATAGTATTGAGGGATCGAGGTGGAGCATAAATGTTTAGCAGTTTCAGATAAAGTCAGTTGCAGGTGAATGGTGCTGGTCAATCAGTGGTTAAGAATTTTGGCCCTAGTGCTGCTATATCTGGGTAAGAATATTTGAATCCTATTCCATGCTGAAAATAAAGTTGAAGAATGGTAATGTTTTGACTTTTTGACATCTGGTGATAGTTGATGTTTTTCAATCTCTTAGTTATATTTCTGTTACAAAATAGTGTGATTTTCTAGTTTTTTTGTAATTTCTTGATCTTAGTTTTCCAAGGTGTTTAGTTGTAAGTAAAAATAGTTTCTGGTTTTCTAGGTTCTCTTAGTTGTGACAAACTCTGTCTCTAGTTGGATGTATTTTACTAGATTTTTTGTGAGTTGACTTTTGACATGAGCAGTAGTAATAGTAGTACAACTCTGACAGAAATAGAAGAGATGACATTTCACTCAGAGGCTGTAAAATAATGTGGCTTCAGAGAGGCCATAGCAAACCAATTGAACCTTATGGCTAAAATTTGGCTTAAACAAGCTGATTTTGAACTAAAGGAGAAAACACTGTTAAGATCCTGCAGAAGTAGGGTAGCGGGTTCTTTTTTTAAAATGTTTGTCTCTTTCCATCACTGCACAGCTGCAAAACTCAGAAAGTCCACTCAGAAACTTTGTTCAGAAACTTTGTCCAGGCACACCTGGACACACATTCTCACACACTCACTGCCAGAATTCCAGAGTCTTCCAGAAAGAAGTTTGCACATGCCCAGAACTACCCTGGAAGGAGGTAGTGGGATGTTTACTGGAAGAACCAGGGTTATAAACCTCCAATTTTCAATGTGTACATGAGACCCAACCTCCGATGGACCAAGACTGTGTATGGCAAGCACAGACCAAGATCAGCCACATGTCTGGAGCCATGGGTGGTGATACCTTTCTATATCTTCTCCTAAGCAACTTTCTTGAGCAACTGAACTCTTCCTTGAGCAACTTTTTTTTTGTGAGCAACTGATATCATCTACCTTGTCTCTAGATTGGAGAGGCATGGATTTGATGGGTGGACCACTTGGTGGATAAAGAACTGGCGGACGGTGCCACACATAGAGTTGTGGTCAGTGGCTTGGTGCCCACGTGGAGGGGAGTGAGGAGTGGTGTCCCTCAGGGGTCGGTGCTGGGGCCGATACTGTTCAACATCTTTGCTGGTGACATGGTCAGTGGGATTGAGTGCACCCTCAGCAAGTTCACTGACAACACCAAGCTGTGTGGGGCAGTCAATATGCTGAAGGGAAGGGATGCCATCCAGAGGGACCTTGACAGGCCAATGCAAACCTCATGAAGTTTAACAAAATGAAGTACAAGGGCCATAGAAATCTCAGGCACACATACAGGCTGGGTGGGGAAGTAATTGAGACCAGCAGTGAGGAGTGGGGAGTGGACTTGGGACACTCCACTGGTCTTGGGAGTGCCAGTGGATGAGAAGCTCACCTTGAATTGGCGGTGTGCGCTAGCAGCCCAGAAAGCCAATCGTATCCTGGGCTGCATCAAAAGGAGTGTGGCCAGCAGATCAAAAGAGGTGGTTCTTCCTCTCTACTCTGCTCTTGCGAGACCCCACCTTGAATACTGCATGCAATTCTCGTGTCCTCAACATAAGAAGGGCATGGAACTGTTGGAGCAAGTCCAGAGGAGGCCATGAAGTTGATAAGAGGACTGGAGCACCTCCCCTGTGAAGACAGGCTGAGGAAGTTGAGGCTTTTCATCCTGGAGAAGAGAAGACTGCGTGGAGATCTCAGAGCAACTTTTCAATATCTGAAGGGCCTACAAGGGACCCAGAGAGGGACTCGTCGTTAGGAACTGCAATGATAGGACAAGGGGTGATGGGATCAAACTGAAGGAGGGGAAGTTTAGATAAGATATTAGAAAAAAGTGTTTTACTGTCAGGGTGGTGAGACATTGGAACAGGTTGCCCAGGGATGTGGTAGCTGCCCCGACCCTGGTGGTGTTCAAAGCCAGGCTGGATGAGGCCTTGAGCAACCTGATCTAGGGGGGAGGTGTCCCTTCCCATGTCAAGGAGGTTGGGATCTGCAAGGTCCATTCCAACCTCTAAAATTCTGTGATTCTATGATTCTTTATTTTTCTCTTTCCAATTTTCCTGTTGTAGGGTGTTCATACACCCTGGGACAGCTATACACCCCTTTTCCAATCCGTTGCTTTTTTTTCCTGTTACGGTTTCTGATCAGTAGTTCTAGTAAAATTTGTTGCTATAGTGTTTGTTTAGCATTATTTTACTTAAATCCACCCTGACGGATCTATTAACATCGAACCTGGCTGCCCTGCCTCAGAGGCATGCCTCAGAGGCAGGTAACAACAGAGGCAAAGAAAGAAGTATTAATCAGATGAAACTTTCCATGGATATGGTCAGCTACATCATTTTTGTAAGAACATGTATGTTCTGGTATGCTGCAGTGTGAGACATCATCCTGTTGCATACCTGAGGAATATGGGCATGTTGCAGTAGTGTTCTTTTTATGCTTTTCTCCCAGGTAATATTAAATAGCCTAATAAGTCAGTTACTGGAACTAGATGTTTGGTATTTGGTATGACAGAGGTGTAGAGTTTTGACAATAGGTTTCTCCTTTGTTAATTTTCCATATGACATTCTGTTAGCAGTTAATAAACATAATGGAATATGGTAGTAATGTGCAGGTAGCTTATTTAAACAGTGTATTTGTTCTTTAGCAATATGTTTGTCCAGACAACTCAGGATTCTGTCTGGCAAATCTGCACCACAAAAGTGTTTGTCACTTAGATGAAAAAACGTTTTTCATTTTGGGTTTTTTTTTGGTGCATTTGGGTAAGACCAGCATTTCTGAGTTAGCTGGTAATCGCCCTGTTATTTCAGGTGGCTTTGGCACTGTCCTGCCATAATCCTAAATCATACAGCAGAGAAATACTTTATTTTTATATGGTACACCCATTATGTGGATAGCGTGTTAGTTTCCATTTTTCATCATACAGAGGGGATAGCTACTGTGCTGATCCCTGTTGTCAGCTATTATCCAGAGAGTGGAATTTAGGCACTACATACCTTTCATGTGGGTGTTGGTGAATTTATGACTGAATGTCAAAAGGTTTCAAAGCACCATAGACTTGCAGGGTAGCAACTTTTTTCATGTTCAACTGACTGGTTGTAATGGGAGGAAGAATATGGTTTGTGTTATTACGTATTTCATGATTAGCTTTCGTATTTTAGTTTAGATCATGTGACCGAATGTTCTTCCTAGATGTACTCTTATATGGGACTTCATTCTGAAAACGCTAAAGATTCCAATTAAGAATCTGATTCCTAATCTGAAGCTTAATATTTATTGTTAGAAACCAGTCTCCCTGAGATACGGATCTCTGGGCAGTTCTGGCAAAGTTGCAGTGTAATCAGAGAATTCATATCACAATGCAGGGAAGATGACTTACAAAATTAATATTGAATTGCTGTATATGAATGTCTTATGGGTTTAATAATTCAAGGTTCAATTATCTTCTATCAATTACCACATGCACTTATTTATTTATTAGATTTTATTTACTCTCTAAGGAGAAGATATATTATAAAACATGTCATTTCCAATTAAGCTGTCATGTTTGGTTATTTTTGAAAGGCCTTGTAATAAGGATAATTTTAACAGAAATTAATATGGTTGAGATCAATAAATATTCAAACGTTATGTTAGAGAATCAAGACTAATTCCTGAAATGTGCATGATATAAAGTAGCAATTACAGGAACTCCTGCTTTCCCAGTCTATGTACCATACTGTTTGAATGATTGCTGCTCCCCCTCAACTTGGATATCTCTATATAGGTAATAATTCAAGTATAGTTGAAATATATAGATAAAAACTGGTAAGCACCTTTAAATATGCTTTAATGCCTACTCCATAGAAAACACAGATAAACTGTCTATTCACATCATGTGCATTTTCTTATTAAGTCGTTGCAAATTTGCTTAAATCATGTTTGTTTGATATACCTATATAGCTTACATTTCAAAATCAAATTTTCTTCTGAATATGTTTTACTTTGCTCAGGTGATAACTATTAAACTTCTTGCAATTAATAATTGCAAGTAATTAAGAATGAAGGTAATATTTTAGACCATTTGCATGTCACACATAAATGGTATAAAATGGTTAAAAGATCAAGTTGAAGAATTCAGGAATTAACTGCTAGTACTTAAATTGCAGGTGCTTTAATTGCATATATTTAAAATGAGAGTGTTATAAGTCCACGGGAGAAGTAAAAAAAAAAAAAGAAACAGCTTTAAAAAAAGAAGTATTAGTTTTCCTGTGTAGCCATAGAAGCCATGCTGTGTGTTGATCCTGTATTTTGGGCAGGTCTATAGCCATATTTCAAATTGTGCGCTGTTGAACAAGGCTTGCTCTTTGTGATGTGTAGTTTGGTAACTTTTTGATGTGGATTATGCTTTCCAAAGAGATCCTTTCACTGCCTGAACTGCAGCAACACTGTTTTAGAGGTCATAAATTGATGTGCAGGTAAAGGGAAAGTCTTTTGAGGATGTGTTTGTGTGGCTGGAGGACAAGTCATGTAGCAGAACATTTAATTGGCATATCAGAAGAATGTAGCTGTATGTTACGGGAAGATGCATCCTGTCACACTGCATAAGAAATATTGATGCTGCTGGAGGATAAAATGCTCCAAGTGGGAGTTCAAAGTTAAATGGGACAAAATTTGGGGCCTTGTATATTGCCACTTGTCTGTGAGACAGATACGATTTTTAAAATAAACAGTTAGTTTGACAGAGTAATAGATCACTTTGCTTTGGAACCTTGAGGTGTGAAAAGAGACGCAGAAAGATTTGTTCTACACAGGCACATTTTCTTCCTTTTCCTTCTGAAGAAATTCTGATGAAATTCAGACTTTCTGTGTGCTGACTGATGAGATATTCTTGAGAGTTATAGCTGGAAGGTCCTATTTCCCCAGATCAAAACATTACATCCTTGGATTCGGAGATCAATTAAGAATACTAACATATACATTATGAATGTGAACATATACATATGTTCCTATAACTGTATTACACATTGAAATTATATTACACTGACTAGGAGAGGAGACTATTTATTTTTGAGTCCTTGTGGACTGTGAAAAATAGTGCTTAAGTAGTTTTTGATTGTGTTTTTGCAAGAATATTGGGCACACTTTCAATTAAAGGAGATTCTGTATACTAGTTACATAAATAAGAACACAATTTTTTTATTTTTGTGGTATGTTTTATGTGAAGAAAATGCAGAAATAACCTGCAGTTATTGAATATTAGTGTTGAGTGTGGGCAGGTGAACAAATCAAAATTTCTAGCAAATTTTGTCTGTAAGTATCTTTGCCTTTTGGGACCTAGTGCTTGTTTTAAAGGCATAAAAATGTAAACATTTGAAGTAATAATGTTATAATGTCTCATTCAAACTATGCACATGAATAGAATCATGGCATATCTCAAGTTATTAGACATTCCATTTTTTTGATTTTTGACAAATGAAAGCAGTCTGATTTGTTCTGACTCTTGAACAGTCATAAATTGTCACTCAAAATTGGTTAATGAATCATTCTTATATGACTTTAAAAATTGAAATGTTTTTACTGTTTGTGAAAAGTGTAATCTATTTCCAGCCTAACACAAGTTGCTGTAGCGCTTGTTCCAAGAATTCATTTGCGTTTCCTCTGTGCTCTTAACAGCACTGGTCCTTTACATTACTGCAGCATTTTAATTACGTTGTTTTGAGAGGACAGATAACTTAGGTAACTAGTGTAAACTAAGAAGATTGAAAATAAGTAAGTATGGGAAAAGTATGTATATATAAAAATGTTAAGACCTGTGAGCTATAAAAATTCATTGATTTTAACCCTATTTATAATAAATAATGTGTTATAATATGCTTTCTGTATTTCTCATCAATTTATCCTTTTAATGACCAGCTTAAAAGAAGTCCAAACGGAATTATTTGATTCTTTTTTCTTCAACCTGCTCCAATAAAGCTTGTTTTGTTTATTTAGTTCTGACAGTGTTCTATTACTATTTCTCTCTGGATACATCTAGTACCACGCATGCCAGTGTACTGTTTGTAATTGCACGTACAGGCTTCCTGCAAATTCTGTTTGGTGTTGTAGTCATGGGTGCACAGTGCATGTCAGTTTTTCTGGCTCTTTTGCCAGCAGTGTTCAGTGCACAGATTTCACCACTGGAGAACTTGCAGTAACTGTAAGTTCTTCCGAGCAGCATGTCACATGTGTCTTCGCGACAACAGTTGTTTCCAACTTGGGTCTTACAGGTAATTCCTAGCTGCAGGGAATTACAAAGTTGATGGTTGGATAGGAACTGTTGCATTGGAACTAGCAGAGATTGGAGACTACTGCTAGCAGCCTGAGAAGCAAAGAAAATGGAGAAAAAAAGAAACATATGAGTGCTACTTGGATGTTATTATTTACTGAGATTAAAATTCAAGGCATTATTTTTTTTTCCTAAAATGCTCAGTCTCAAATGGTGCTTAGGTTTTTTTTGCTTCATATGAAAATACTGACAACATTAATATGCTGTCAGTTTATTGGATGTCTTAAATCTTATAATGCACTGTTACTTTTTATTTATTTGCTTTCTGTTTGTTTGTTTTCCAGAGGAATAATAACATTATAGAAAAGAAATTAAAAGGAGAGATAGACTCAGGGCATGGAATATTTTCAGATAAAAAGGTTCTGTGTAGATCATCCATCCTGATATGCCTTATGCTGTATATTTGGCTCAGGGGTATGATAGCTTTGTTTATTTCTTTCCTGCTGCTGCTGCTGCTGCTGTTGCTGTTGGTGCACTCTACAAGTATGGTCATATGTTTCTTAGCTACTACACAAACTGAACTCGCCAGCGCTGACAGAATCATAGAATCATAGGGTGGTTTGGGTTGAAAGGGACCTTAAAGATCATCTAGTTCCACTGCCTTCCACTAGGCCAGGTTGCTCAAGGCCACATCCAACCTGGCCTTGAACACTCCCAGGGATGGAGCATCCCCAGCTTCTCTGGCCAACCTGTCCCAGCTCCTCATCACCCTCACAGTGAAGAACTTTTTTCTGTTATCTAATCTAAACCTACATAGTTCATCCAGCTATTGGGCCATATTCTTTTTCTTGCTTGCAGCCTGAAGCAGGCTGCAGGCAGGTCTGAAGCCCCATGAAGGTGAGTTTGTGCTCTGACCTGTAGCTGTGTAGGATTCAGAAACGATGAGGAGTGGAGGAGCTCTGCTGTGTCGGACAGGTCCCAGGAACTTGGGTGTTTTCTCCATGACCTGCTGTGGGCCTCAGGCTACTTAATTCTTATGTACCTCTCCTGTAAAAATTACTTAAGTGACTTTCTCCAGCTTTATAAAATATTCAGTATATATTTAGTGTATATTTTCCAAGCCCACAGTGCTACAATTATCATTAATTACAATAGAGCCTGTAAGATTTAACTGTCCATAGCAACTTAAAACCTTTCCTCAGCAGATAGTTGTCCTTATTATCCCAAAAAGCTTTGTCTGTTTGGAGAATTTCTGGATATTTAAAAAATATAAACCCCACATATTGTCTCCCCTTTTAATTTTTTTCCCCACATAATAATTACATTTCTTAGCAAGGAAAATGTTTGCATTTCAAAATCTATATCCATCATCCAAAAAAGAAAGTGGTTTTGCAATAGTTAAGAAAACAGGAAAATTATGTTTGCTTTTCATTATAAAGTTTCAATAGAAATTAATAGCCTTTAATTAATTCTTGCTCCATGTCAATACAGGCTGCTAAATGTTATTAAGTTGTATTAATTAATTTCTCTGCATTTCCACAGAACTGCTTTAAGCAATAGTTATGTTCACAGATGAATAATTTTCCCCAACCTGCTTGACCAGGTTTTATTTAATGATTAAGAATCTGTGTCGGTGAGCACTTTGCCTCCCAGCAATTCAGAGCATGGTGTCTAGCAGTGCCAAAGTTTTACAGATTAATGGGACATGGCAACTGAGATTTGGTTTTTTTTAAGGAGTGAAGGTATGACTTTTTTCCCTACCTTATGTACATAATTATCAAACCAAAGAGCTATTTTTTACTGCTGTGAAACAAATCAGCAGTGGTAACCTTAAAGATTTTGTAATAGATTCATGTTATCAAAGGAGCCTTATGCAGGATTTCTCTTTTGTGGTTACACCTGTGAGTTAAAACAGTAGTGCTCCAAAAAAATTGTAGTATCTAAATGTTAAAACCCCCTACTATTCAAGTATCAGTCAGAATTGAAATCACTGTCAGTAATGGCACATTATTTTTTTTCATTTGCTTATCAATTCTGTCTTTTTGTCTTTCTTACAAATTCACATAATGCATTGTCTCCAGAAATAAGGCTTTCATACCATCCAGAAAAGTACGCCTGGATGTGCACAGTGCCATTACTTGACTGGATTTATTTTAGTCTTGCGTGTCTGTTGCTGGAGTGTATATGTTGCTGCTTCAGTTGTAGTGGTAGTTAAATGTTAATTGTGCTGTTGTAGACACTTGGCCTCCTTTTCTGTATTTCAGAGAAAAGATAATTAAAATGCTCTATTTTATTTTCAGACAACGCTAATGAGGAAGAGTTGGAAAAGATCAAGTAAGGTAACTTTTTTACTTTTAGCATGTGGTCTTCCGGAGCTTTTTTTTTTTAAGAACAACAATGATGTTTTACTAAACATGTCATCTAGGATGGAAAACTTCTGGCACAGGACTTATTCTCCTTCAAAATGTGTTTTAATGACATTGGGTTTTGTTTCATCAAATCAAAATCAACAGTAGAGCTGTTAATGTAATCATAAAACCTCTCAACTTTGATACAGCATTTTAACCTATCTTGAAGTCATCTAGTGACTTCATGTAAGTGGCAAACACATCCTGATTCCTTTTCTAAAACCTTTAATTTCTCATGTATAAGCAATTTCCTTTGTTAGTGTGAACAAAGAATTCATGCCAAAGGGTAACTTTCATTTTGTTTGTTACTTACGCCTCTTACTGCTTAGAGTTTTGTGGCTGGAGTTTTCACGGTGATGCTTCTCAAAGACAAATTTCCCATATCACTGGGTGTGTACAGGTGACAGTCATAGTCAGAATTCACAAGAGCAGAGTGCTTAAAGAATCATTCTTGGCCTCCACCTGTCATGGTTTAACCCCAGCCAGCCACCAACCAAGCACCATGCAGCTGCTAGCTCACCCCCCTGCCAGCAGGACTGGGGAGAGAATCAGAATGGTACAAGCTAAAAAACTTTGTGTTGAGATCTGTTTAACAGAGAAAGCAAAAGCTATGCACACAAGCAATGTAAACCAAGAAATTAATTCACTGCTTCCCATGAGCAGGCAGATGTTCAGTCATGTCCAGGAGAGCAGGGCCCCGCCATGTTACTTTGGAAGACAAACATCATCACTCCAGATGTCCCCCCTTCCTCCTTCTTCCTCCCACTTTATATACTGAGCATGATGCCATATGGTGTGGAATATCCCTTTGGTCAGTTTGGGTCACCTGTTCCAGCTGTGTCTCCTCCCAGCCTCTTAGGCACTCACAGCTTCCTTACCAGCGTGGCAGTATGAAAAGCAGTAAGGGCTTTGGCTCTATGTCAGCACGGCTCTGTAATAACAAAAACATCTCAGTATTATCAACCCTGTGTTCAGCACAAATCCAGAACATAGCCCGATACTGTAAAGAAAGTTAACTCTACCCCAGCCCAAACCAGCACACCACTTTATAGAGCTCTTTAGATACCTTTTCAAGTAAATTCAGTATCTGGCTTTTCGATGCATAGGAGTTATGGGAGTGATAAAAAAGGAGCAGTGTATGCTCTTTTCCACTGGGGAATGACAGAATTTGGATGCAGTGGAATACAACCCATTTTTAGCTTTTTTTTCTTTATGGGTCTCCAAAAAAATTAAGATAATATGTATAGTTTCACAGTAGTTTTCTGGCCACTCTTAACTAATGCTGCTGTTGTGTTTGCAAGTTTAAAGACTTCTTACTATTTGCATTGTTAAAAACAGAATTAAAATTTGTCAAAATCTTGAGCTGGTGTGGTAGATCTGGGTCTTTTGAGATATTACCAAGTGTTAAAATAAGAAAAAAATGTAATAGCTATGTGGGGCAATTCACTTATTTTGTAAAGTTATTTACTTTTCTAGCATATTGATGCATAAATTTAAATAGAAGGTTGTTAATAAACTGTTATTGCATATTGTGCCCACTGACAAATATTTGCACGCTCACCTGTAAAAGAAAAAGAGAACAATATTCATAATTCTTGGGTTATGGATTTTTTTTTACAGTCTGCTTCTGTGATGCAGGACAGTACTCAATCTCTGGTCCCTTTTTGAAATTTGTGAAGCAAAGATGCTTGGTGAAGTGTTGGTGTGTAGAATTTTGATTCTCATACAGTTTAACTTCCTGAAATATCTAAGATGCTCAAATTTATGAAGAGATAAGGAAGAGCTGTGAGGATGGTGAAGGGTAGAACTGTTTTGCATCATGAAAGCTATGTGTTAACTCATGATGTGCTAAATATATTGGATGACAGTTTGTCCCCATACTTCAAATGGCAAACTGACAAAACTATGAGCTTCAATAATCCTGAATGAATGGCACAACATGATAGCTGGAATTCTTCAGAGCTCTTCAATGAGTTACTTATCCTTGTTCTCCTTTGTTGCATTCATTTGATAACATTTCATTTAGTAGTTGTCATTCTTGCAAACTTGCATAGCAAAAGATTTGGCAAACAGTGAATGTATGATTTTTAATATTGTGTTTTTTCTACGGCTATCTCAGCTGAAGTAATAATTAACCTAGAGTTGTAATGCATGTATAATATCTACATACAGAAGTATCTCAGTTAAAACATAGGAGCTCATTTGCCTTGTGGGGCTGTTCCAGAGTTCCAGATCTTTGGTTTGCTGTCAGGAAACCAAATTCAAAGATCTTTTATTTACAAAAAATTCCATCAAAAGAGTTACTGTTCTCTGGGGTGCAAGGTAATCAATTAAATAAGATATCATTTGCTGATTAAAAAAAAAGAATGTCTAAAAATAAGTGCTTAATGCTATTAGGTAATAGAGAAAGTACCCTATTTGAGAGCGTTCTTCAGGAAACGTTACACTCCTGAGAGCTGAGAAAAAAGCAGAATAATAAAAAATTTTAAATGCATACTTGTAAAATTTCCTAGGCCTATTTTTTTAGCTCTATAGTGGCTTTGCAATGACAGTTCTAATAAATGAATTTGCTTTTACAGATTATGCCTCTAATCTTCACATTTTAAGGTCTATGTCCTTGAAGTCTACCTTTTCTGTAACGCAGGTAGCTTGAAGTTAAGGTATAAAAGTACAGACCATTATGGCATTCCTTGTGTTTATGGATTGCATTGTTGGTGCATAGTTCCTTGGGCATGTTTAGTAGTTGTTAAAAGAACAGTAACTAATCTCAATTACAAGGTTAACATGTTCATGTACTTGAAGACAAGTATTTTGGCCAAATTCTGAGTATCTACTTTAAATACTGCTCCCCTTTGAAGTTGAGGTGTTATGAAATAATCAGGTCAATGCAGCTGTGTATTTTATCTGTGTGTAAACCAGTGTTTTCAAACCCACTAGTGTTGTAAACACTTGTTGGTGGCATTGCAAAAATGAAACAACACTTATGCTTTTGGGGGGTTTTGTATGATTTTTTCCTTATGTGGCTGTTATTTTTTTTGTGTTTTAGTTGTCCTTGTCACATTTGCTTTATACCAGACGTACTCTTTGGCAAAAGTCAGGGGAGCTAGATCAATTCCTGTGCTCTCTAGGTTGGAGTACTCATCTTCCACTAAATCTAGCAAAAAATAAATTTGAACAATTTTGAAGTCAAGGGCTTGTTCTGTGGAAGGGAAATTCATACCTCCTGTCTTCCATGACCTGCTGGGTTATTGGGAAATAGCTGTTAATTTTAAAAAACCCAAAACATCTGCTGGGAAGATGCAATTTGCATCAGTTTTGAATTGATTGTTTTGTTTCATTCACCACAAGCTTGGCATTACATTGAAAGAAACTGGTGACTGGTGATTATGACTTGGCAGGTTGGGCTCTTTGGTACATGGTCTGGAAGAGGAAACATCTCCATTTCTACCACTGAATCTATACTAGGATCCATTACACGCTGAGTAAAGGTGGAAGCGAATTATTCAATGTTTCATGTATTATTATTTTTTATGATCCAAGTGTTTGCTCAACGACCTCAGTGTGCCTGTGCCTCATTTCCTGTGGTTTAGAGTTCAGTTTGTTAGGTATTATGTGGGTTAACGGAAATCAAAAGAGTCCTTTATGATCTAAATAATCAGTTATTCATTTTAACCAAATAGACTATCTATTTTTTTTTCTAAAAAAGCTGTTGGAAAAACCTTGATCTGTGCAAAATGGCTTTCCTCTCTGTGTATGCCTTTGAGTTCTTCTAGTTTCGTGTTTCTGCACCACAGTTTTCCCTTAGGGCAGATTTTCCTTTTTGCATTAATTCCTCTGATGAAGATGCAGACTTTCCTAATGGCTCTTATCCTTTGGGTTGAACAAAAGAAAATTCCTGCTTCTCTCTTGCTTTCTTAACTGTTTGGATACCAAATCTAATTTGGTAAAACAATTGTTGCAGTCCAGGCAAAAAAAGAGCACAGAACAGTCAACATTGCCTCTGACAGTGAGATGAATAGTGATAATTTCTGAAGTGATTTCCTTTACAGAATCCTTGAGATGCAAGCTCTCTGTATGATGAGAAATAAAACATTGCGATTTCCAACATGAGCCATTGCAGCCTATTTGGCAGCAGTTGCTTCTTACTTTATTTTTTAAAAAAAGAACCCACAGCCTGTATTTTTTTAGTGTTGTCAGGTTATTCTTTCTGCACTTGACAATTGTTTGCATTAACTCAATTGGAAGCCTTTCTTTGGATGCTTTCTCTCAAAGACAAATTTCATTTTATAGAGAACAGATTGACTTTCTCTGAAGAATCTGTGGACACTAGTAAACATTATAGGAAAAATCATCTGTTCCCTCTGCTTCTGTACAATTTGCTGTGTGATTACAGGAGGTTAATTCAGAAAAGCATAAGTGACAATGGCTTTAGGTGGTGCTGTTTATTTACAGGGTAATGTGCTCAGAGCTTGCTTTGGAAGTTTTATCCTTGCTATGCTGAGTGGGAGGAATGGAGGCAGAAAGGTGTGAGACAAGGACCTTCAGAAGATACCTGGAATGTCTCTGGAAGATGAGGCTGATGGCAGGACAGGTAGTATTTGTGGACAGACCAAACCTTGCCAGAATTTCAGATGTCTGGGATGTTTAAAAATCTGCCTGTGTGAAGGCTAGGTGTGAAAAAGACACAAAAAACTGCCTGAAAAGTTGTGTTCTTACCCTAAAATGGGAATAGTGACAGCTAAACTATGTTTATTAGGTGTTTGTTTAATCTGTCCTTAAAATTTTCAGTAATGGATATTTTACAGCCTCCCCAGAGAGCTGGTTCCAGTTCTTAAGTATCACTTCCATTAAAGGCTGTTTTTTCCCTAGTGTCTGACAGCATCTTCTATGGTGCAAATCAAGCTAATCTCTCCCCACAACACAGATGGATA